GTGCTCCGTCCCGGCTTTGTAGGGATGCGAGGTCAATGGTCTAACGACTACGGCATGCACGACTATGAGTACACCCCCCCTCCCCCCCAGCGTTGTTATGAGAATCAGCAAAGGTATTTGCCATGGTAAAACTATGCCAGCGGTATCGCTGTTGCAATCGCACATGGTCCTCCTTCCTGGGCATGAGGGGATGTGGGTTTGCTTCGAACAGAAAATCAACAACCTCCGAACATCTGGCCTCTCATTCAACGACAACATCCATGCTCACGCTGGGCCATAACCTCTTATTCACGCCCCTCCCCCCAGCTAACCACACCAAAACACCGCGAAACACAAAAACCACTTCAATCCCACAAAATAGTCCGACTCAAACCCTCCTGAATGATGTAGATATTTCACGGATCACAAAGTCACCGAACAGAACCAAAACCAAACGCAAAGGAATACATGCTTTACTCAAGCAGGACGCTACGGCACCCGGGCGCACAACCACCACACCACGGAGCCCCCCCCCCCCCCCCCCCCCCCCCCCCCCCCCCCCCCCCCCCCCCCCCCCCCNCGAGCCCCCGGTGCATGCTCCCGTGCCCCAGGAGCGCGTCTCCCCCGACCATCGAGCGCCTGCCGGCGTTGGAGTCGTTACCAAGGCGGGCGGCGAAGCGGGAGGAGACTCTGCCGGAGACAGGTCGGACGATGGCCTGATTGTCGTCCAGGGTGGACATGGCCCCGTGGCTCGCCCCCTGGATGTGCAGCCGTTGGATAGGGCGGGGGAGGGAGGGGCATTGAACGCCTTAGTTGTTAGACCATTGACCACGCGTCCTAGAGAGGGCGGAGGCGTACTCACGTTTTGCATGCCTTAGACTAGTCATCAGCTTTTAGATCATTGACCACGCGTCCTCGAGAGGACGGAGCGCGTGGGTGCCAGACATCACGGGGGGGTTCACACGTTTGGTCCTCATTGGGAGAATAGCTCAAAAAGTGCCGTCGCTTCAACGGCGCTGGTACATTTTTTCAGGAAACGGTGTACAAATGCGAACAGGCGTTCTCACAGTTACGTCCCCCCTGTTGTGTTCACGTTCTGCGGGTACTATTACTCCTGAAAAACAGAACACCACCAAAGCGAGGAATGCCCGTAAAGGGGGGACGTCCATCGGATACCTATGTAGTCACCTACGTGTGACCCAAACCTGTGCCAAGCTTGCATCCAGCTCATGAAGGGAAGGGATACACGTCACTAATACGCAGCTTTGTTCGAATACATTTAGTTCATTTAGTACTTTTCTTGAGAAGAGATCGGAGCGTTTTTTGCCGTAAAGTCAACAAATTCAAACAGCAACAAACCACAACAACAATTTCAACAAAAAAAGTCTTGAGAAAAAAAAACATAACAGGGCACGCACCCTGGTCATCTTGGTCCTGACCCCATCGCCATCATCAAGGGTTATGCTCCCCCGACTCCTCCTGGACAGATCCAGACCGGGTCGGGAAGAAGAGAGTACCTTCAGCCCGTGCCCAGAGGTGTCAAGCCCGGTCTTGGAGCGGCGGTGATGTGCGCCTCCCTGTCACCACCAACAACAACAAAAACATCATCGATAAAAGAACACCAACCAAGACGTTAGGAAACGGGCGACGGAAATCCAAGTTATTGAGCGTGATTCGGCACCTCCCTTGCCACAATCAGCAATAAAATAGAAGTAGATGAAACAAGCAAGGCCAACAACCGCAAAGCTAGGAAGCGGGCGGCAGAAGCCCCAGTTGTTCAGCGTGTTCGGGTCGACACCACAGTTTTACATGGTGAGCAGCAGCTCACCAACAGGCGTGACATCTACCCGATGTTCTCCTTACTCACTGTACAGCAGAGCGGAGGAGATCACGCACATGTGAAAAGGACCAAATCTTCGATCAATCTACGAATCTACTCCGAATTTTGGTGGGACATTTTCTCGACTCTTGTTCTCTTGTCACCATCTCCTAATCTCTTGTCATAACAGCAGAGCGCAGCGACACCATGTAGAAGAGTATTGAACAAATCTACAAACAACCTAGTCTCTCTACCCTGTGTCACCATCTCTTATTGCTTCGTCAACGAGGGGTTAGGCAATCGGCTCAAAATACTGCGTGGGACACACGATCGAGACAGATACCTTGGTGGAATCAAAAACAAGGAGCGGCGATCGGGTCTAAAACTCGACGACAGGATCAAAACGTACCAGTTCGTTGTTGCTGCTGCTCCGAGCCAAAGAAGTGGACTTTCCGAGCCCGCTCATCTTTTGACTGCACGATAAACCGTCGCAAGCGGCGCAGAGAGGGGGGAGGGGGGGGGGTACTCATAGTCGTGCATGCCGTAGTCGTTAGACCTTTGACCTCGCATCCCTACAAAGCCGGACGGCGCACGCCCGGTTCGCACCGGACCAGGCTCTCACATCACCAAGCGCGAAGCGCCGTGAGATATT